ACCTGACAAAGTGGGTCTTTACCCACGAAAGCTTATGCTCCAATAAATCTGTTAGTCTATAAGGTACCACAGGATTTCTCATTATTTATGCAGATTCAGACTAACATGGCTACCCCTCTGATACCTATAGATTTCAGGTTTGTTTTCCATAAAAGCTGCCATGTCCCAGCTGTAAGGGCATCTGGAGCCTTCTTGAAGCATTGTAACTAATTAAAATAACAAGAAAGACATGGAGTAGGGACTGAAATAGCTGACTGTGCTTACACATATAATGACACTTGATTTTTCTCTTCCTCTGTTAGTTATGGATTATTGATAGCTGAGTGCTGCCCTGAAGTGGAAGAGATTAGTAAAGACTCAAAAGTTTATCCTGCTAATCTATTTAAAAGGCTAATGAGAAAATTAAATCTTTACTAAAAGAGGTGAAAAGCACATTCGTTGACTAAATAAAGTGGGACCGAGAAACAAACAGTCCCATGAGCCACTTCAGTTCAGATGGATATAATCATTTGTTTGGCAGAATAATAGGTATCATGTCTCTGGCTATTCAGTATTAATAAGCATATGTGTACCTCCCTTTTAAGTCTGTCAAGGAAGAAAAAAAAATAGTTTTAGAAGAAAAAATGTAAGTATGAAATCTAGGGGTACAGGCTGGGCCTCGTTGGTCCAGCACTATCACAACCTGAGTGATCCCAAACCAGGGAGTTTGCCAGAGCAGGAGAGATCAGTGCTCCCCATTGGGCACTTGCTGCTGTCCCCACTTCAGTCTCCCTTCTGAGCCCTTTCCATGTTCTCAAGCGCCAGCTCTAGCCACTGGGCTCTGCTCCTGGTTTGGCAGGGCTTTGGCCTAGCCCGGGGTTCTTGGCCGCTGCTGGCTCCTGTGCTGCTGGCATAGCCACGGGCTTCCCAGTCGCCATCAGCTCATCCGAGCTTCTTGGGCCCAGGACTGAGGCTCCAGTCTGACGGACTCCTAGCTGGCCCCCCACTCCAGGCTGGCAGACCATGGATGTTTCCAGACCAGAGAGTCCCACAGTTGAAAGATTTAACCTGTAGTTCAAGTACGACAATTAAATGAAGTAGTGGCCCAATTATGTTATAATATTCTTGCTTCTTTGGATGGCGCCAAATATGTTGTAATTGTGGTAAGAAACCAAAGTTTTGCCATGTTAACACTGGTAGAAATGTATCTAATTATGATTTTTTTTATCTAAAACAAAGGTCAGGGCATGATTATAATACAGTTTTATCCAATTCTGTGTTGTTGTTTGGTTTTATTACTAGGGACTGGAGGAGGAGGATTTTACTATCAAAATCTCACTTTAGTATGCATGTATGAGGGAATTGGTTTGGTAACTTCTACCTTTTAGGGCAGCAGAGCTTTACTTCCAACTCTGTCTTCTTTCTAGGATATAGGCAAGGGATGTAATTGCTAAATTCAATCACTAATTTAACATAGACAGTAAGAAAGTTAAGCTAGTGTGAACTGGCATAGTTCTAGTGAAGTTGGTGGAGATATGTTGATTTGTACCAGCTGAGCATCTGGCCCATTGGTTTAAGCCAGATAATTTTTTAATTATCTAGGAAAGCCCTATCCTTTCCCATAAATGGCGTCTAGTGTAAAAATAGGGGCGATCTATTATCTAATAACACTAATAATGCTATATTTAAAAAACACTCCACCTACTAAAAAAGCCAATGACTTCCCAAATCAGTGAGGTACAGTTTGTGTTATCTCTTTGCTGAGGTTGTCCCGGATATGTTTTCACCAGTTCAGGAAATAGAGGAAAGAAAGTTTCAACAATTCGCACCCTCAAAACATTAGCACCCTCAAAAACCTCTGCTAACAGAAGGATGAGATAAGGCAGGCCATACGACTGCTTGCACTGTTTGTTTACTCTGCTTCCCTGTGGTCCCAGTGTTTTGAAAAAAAAAAAAAAAACCAACAAAAAAACCCTGAGCCAATGCTGAGTACAGTTTAGAAATGTAAAGCTTCACTCAGCATCGGAGAAAGGGGCCTCAGTAGACAATTATCTGTCATTAAAGATGACTAAATGAATGAAGACACAGGGTCAGCCTTTCTTTGATGGGATGTGCAACTATAGGAATGTGCAATAGAAGGCTGTCTCTGCCCTTTAAAATAGGGGTGGTACTGGCTGGGTTTTTGTTGGATTTTTATCAGTGTTGATGTGAGGAAATGGCTTTCCCAGCTGATAACATCTTTGACCGAGTTTCTTGAACCATTGACCTTTATCAGTCAGAGTGCATTGGACCCTTTTCTAGTCTCTCATAAAAATAAATCCTAAAATACGGTCTCTATAGGAAATATCTTGCAATTATAGCATTCTTTCATAAAGAGGATATTTTACATTTTTGTTTGACCTTATGCTATCGTTTTGTTACAATATATAAATGTTTACTGAGGGAGCAAGTAGAACATACCATTCATAAACACTATGTACTATATCCTGCACTCAGGCGCAGGGTGACTTAATTGACTTCAGTGGTCTTTGGTAAGAAGTAAGCCAAACTGCTGTGTAGGGTCGATGCGGGCTGCTTAATAGTGCTGTTTAACCTCAGAGCTAGCGACATTTGTACCTCATTAGGCATTAGGTTTAAATGTATTGAAAGCATTTTGAGACTCTGAAAGGAAAGCTGAGGCAGATGATGATTATCGCTACATTTTCTTTCATTGACAGAAACACTGCAAAACACACTCATTGTGCCAAGCTCTGAGTAGACTTAAACCCCATCCAATCCAGTTGAAGTCAGTGGATTTACTTTAGGAATTAGTGCAAAACTTGGCATGTATTAATTTCATATTTTTGAATGACAATGCCATGCATACTTACTGTCTCAGTAAAAATTAAATTATTATTACATTGTTACAATAATGCTGCATCCTAGAGTGAAATGAAAATATAATTGTAGAGAAGTTTAGGTAGCAGAATGTAATCACCTACGTTGGAATTTAGCCAGGACATGAGCACCCCTACTTAAAGTATCAGTTGATCTCAGTGTCTAGAAGACTTTGATTCCATGTCTCATCCGAAAGACTGCATCTACACTGGAGTGCTGGAATAATTTTTATAGTGGAGGTGCTGAAAGCCATTGAACCAAACTGTAAATCCACTATAACATGGAAAACACTTCAAGCCAGGGTGTGCAGCAGCACTTCCAACATGCCTAGTTCGAGCACCAATGATCCCCACCACTGCAAAGGCCTAATCCTTGTGCAAAAGCATAGATTTGGTATTGACTCAGGAAGAAGAGCAGTACTAATAGATTATTTCCATTACCATTTCCTGCAAAACTTCCCAATATTGAACCAAACAGTGACCTTGACTATCTCTGAGTTTCTTGTGTGATCTAATGTCTTGCCACATAAGTAACATGGCTGTAATTTGATTGTACTAACATATCGAGAAAAGCTATTCTGTAGCATAGCATTTCTCAACCTGGGGTTCAGGACCCCTGGGGGAGGGAAGGCATGAACAAGTTTCAGGGTGTCCACAAAGCAGGGCCAATGTTAAAATCACTGGGGCCCAGGGCATAAAGCCAATGCCCCTCCAGGTGGGGCTGAGCTCCATCACCTGGAGCTCCATCACTGCCTGAGCAGTGTAGATTTGTGGGGGCCCTGTGGCATGGGGCCCCAAACAGTTGCCATGCTTACTACCTTCTAATTCAGTCTGTGGCTTATATGCAGAAAACTACTTGTGGCACAGGTGAGCCATGGAGTTTTTAGAGCATGTTAAGGAGAGCCTCAGAAAGAAAAAGGTTGAGAATCCCTGTTGTAAAAGAGCATTAAACATGTTGTAAAGTATAAAAGTGGTACAGGTTAAAGAGTATATTTATTTTGAAAGTCAAGTGGTGTGTGTTACCATCCATGAAAGCATAGAAGTCCCTTCTAATAATGTGAGCACGTACCACTGATCAGAGCTTTATCAGTCAGACATCCTCCCATTGCGACTGAAGAAAGGAAGAAGCAACAGTGGTTTTGAGCTTAATTATCAATTTAGCTCCTTAGAACTATTGTATCAAGTTCTCTCAGCCAGGTCTGGCTGCTTTGGTTACATGTGAGTTGTATTTTCAAACTTATCTCTATAGCCATGAGAGCTAATTTTTTTAAAGGAAAGGTTACAATCTGATGTAATCACATGACCCCACAGGCTGGGACTCTGTGTTAGGACTCAGTAATGTATTTTGAAAAATCAATAATTTAAGTTTGCCATGGATATGTAGGTTTTCTGCTGTGTAACTGCAGCATGGAATTTGGGTTGGTTGTATAGCAGAATAGGCCAGTTCTTGTGTAAGATTATACTGAACATACATGGATGAGAAGAAGACAACACTGTAGTATAGTCATCACTATAGAATAGGACTGCAACAAACTGAAGAGTAATATGATCTCTAAGAATGAAGTTTTATCTTGGTCCAAGGATGACTGAATTTCATTACATTTATACTTTCTGACTATATGTAATTCAGTTCAGAATTTGAAAAAATTGTTTACTGCCTTGAAACATGATTATTCAATCATAAAGAGAAAAGGGGATAAAAACAAGGGTATACCTAACAACAGAAATTCTGTGTACAAAGATATGGTACAGAGAGATTGAACCAGGAGTCAGGGGAAAAAAACAAATCCGTGTTACTCTGCAAACAGTAAAGAAAAAGATTGTATTAGGAAAATAACTTGTTTATACAAGAAAGCACAAAAGCAAAGGAATCATGTCTTGAGAAAATGAGAGCTAGAATGCACAATATCTTGTTGTATTACTTAAGGCAATGAAGCTTTAAGGTTTACCTTATACGCCATGTACATTGATTAAATACCAAATATATGGTGGCCATTTTTGACCATCATTTACTGTATTGATTTGTCAGTAGTGCAACTGTAATAAAAAAAACCCCATTGATTTACTGTCCTTATTTGCTTATGGGCTTTTTATTAATTTTATGCTTTTTTGGATTATAATTTTTTATGTTTTTTTTCTTTTAAGACAAGCCTAGTGCTCTGTGAAGTTGGAAAAGACGAACGAACCAGGGAACAAAGGAATGAAATCATCAGCTGCTTCTTTCCACTTCTTACTGAGCGACAGGAGCTTCGCAAAGAATGGGCAGCAAGGTGAGAGCCCTAAGGAAAAGAAAAATATAGTGAGACCTCTAAATAAAAAACCACCCACATGATTAACTCTTCCTATAAAGATGCAAATAGGAAAAATAAAAAGCTGAGCAAGTCTTTTTAAAGAAGAGTTTTACTGTTTGCTTTTCTAGTTACATAAATAGTCAAAAGTTACTTATATATGATTTCATAGTTAATTTAACCATGTGATATTGTACTACTGTGTTGGTGTAGCAATCTGTTTTGTTCATATCCTGATAAACAGCATGCCCATTCAAAGGATGTGTCAATTGAATCATGCTTTGTCCGAAAAGGTTTTCTCTATTATTGTTACAAATAATATCTGCTAATGTCTCATGGTTGTGATAGGCTCAGTATAAGTCAGGGGTGGGGAACCTTTTTGGGTCGGGGGCCACTGACCCACAGAAAAATCAGTCAGGGGCCACACAAGTGAGAAACAAAAAACCCACCCTTCACTAGCATGGGCTCCCCAATATTGGGGGAAGCCCTGAGCCACAGGGGCTGGATCCAGGTAAGCCAGGGGCTGCAATTGGCCCCAGGCCTTAGGTTCCCCATCCCTAGTATAAGTGTTTGAATAGAACAGCACAATGGTACAAACTCTGCCATTAGAATGATGTAGTGGTGCTGATGCTTACAACCACACAGAGTCCAGATAACATGTGTGGTATGACCCATGAACAAGTCTATTTACGTGATCATAGCCAGTAGCTGGAAAAGTTAGGGTTAGGCTTCTTTTTGCATTTGGCAATACTTTGGGTACAGGCAGTTTTACTGATTCACTTAATTTCCCTGTTGCATGCATGAGATTTTTACATGGCAACAGTAGGAAAAATAAGAAGTTTTTTTTTTTTTTTTTTTTTTTTAAAGGAAGATGCAATTGCCAAATGACAAAAATAAGTAAGGAGGTTCCAAGATGCATACAGTAACTGAAACTGTTTTTAACACATTTTAATTCCCTAATTTTAAATTAATAGTGTTCCTTTAACTGTGGTAAATGTCTAGGAACATTCTCAGTGAGATGCATTTCAATGACAATCAATAAAAGATATTCTTAGTCTATTTGAAATGCCATTCCTATTCTTGTCGGAAAACTTGTTTACTAAATTGTTACTATGTGCTACCTTGCTTCTTCATTCTACTCCCCTGCTTTGGTAATGACTGCTAGATCACTCAGTTTTACCTTACCATTCTTAGTTCCACATCTAAAAGTTATAGATGTATGCATGTGTAATGCACATACATTCTGAGTGTGGTATACTGGCCTATGTAATGGACAGTACACTTAGACCACTAACAGAGAGAAAGAATGAGTTTCCTTTCCAGCCTCAGCTGAGAGCCTAGACTTTTAGCTCAAGCTGTAAAGGCTAATGCACTAAGCTCCAGAGGGCCCAGGTTTGGTTCCACTTGTCAGCGTACAAAAACTTTAATGATCTCTTGTTCTTTCTTGATTTTAAGACAAACAATTTAAATAATTACGAAGAGCTACTGTAAAATGGGCCAAATTCTGCCCTTCGATATGTGCATACATCTCTTATTAAAATCAATAGGAGTCCTGTATTTGAAAGTTAAGACCTTTGGCCTTATTGTATGCATTATTGTGATGCTTGTGATATTCTGGGGAATTGCTTAATTGGCATGAATATGTTTCCAATGCTGTGTGTCAGTTAAAGGAATTCAGTTGTACTTTTAATGTAGTGCTTTTTATGGACACTGAAATTTCTGTAGATTTGACCACAGTTACTTCACAAAGTCAGTAGAGGCTGGTGAACCTGATGTTTGATTGTATTTACTAGTCTCAGTATTGCTGTACTGCATGGGTTCTTGAAACACTTCAAAAACTCCAAGGATTAAATACCACAATAGAATAATAATTATTTGAATGAATGAGCGACCTTGTTTAGAAAGGTTTTGGTATGGGGCTCAGGCATAATGATATTAATCAGATGAGGTCTCAGAATGAAAAATATATCTCCAAGAATACAGGTCCAGCACTCTCGCGACCTGAGCTGTCCTGGACCAGGGAGTTTGCTGGACCAGGGGAGGTCAGTGCTTCCCTGCTGGCTGCTAATCTCTTTGGGGCTTCTGGCCCTGCCACTGGCTCCCCTAACACTGCCCTGGCACAGCTCCCCACCCTGCTGCCCGCCTTCTGTCCCAGGATCTACCAGGGTTCCCAGCGGGGACTGCTTGGCCACTGCTGGCCTTGCTGCCACAGGGTGTTCCCCAGGCTTTCCAGATAGGATCACCCAGCACCACCACCCAGCTGCTGTCGGGGGTTCCCCAGCTGGGGCTCCTGGCCACCCTGCCTCAGCTGCTGAGGCTGGGCCCTGCTGCCACTC